TTGGTACTGTCATCAGGTATGTAACTTGAGAATAGAAATCGCTGCATATTTTAGGCGCATCAATATTACATAGTTACATACCGAGCTAATAAAAGGGAGGTAAAAAATAAGCAAAACTCTGCGAATTCTGTGAGGTTTTCCTTTCCTAAAATTCTTTAAATAAAGTAAAATTATGGACAATTACAACTGGTTCATATTTAATCAGAAGCAATTCGTGGTTGGTTTTATTTTGAATTAAAACTAGAGAACGGGCGTGACAGGTTTTTCAAAAACTTCGTGTGGAGATTTTACTTAAGCTTTTGGGAATCTTAAACTTTCTTTGGACAAACAAGTTACATTTCAAACAACATATCGATGGCTGAGTGGAAGATCAATCTATCTCGGCAGCGAGTTCAAAAACGCTCTATCTCAGAAAATTTTTCAACAACGCCCTATTTCAGAATTTTATAGCAAAAAAAACCCTATGTTGTTGTTGTTGTAGCGGCTACAACAACCCCGCCCAGATCGGTTGATATCTCAGTCGTTGTCGTCGAGTTCCACTAACGGCAGCCCCAAAAAGCGTGCAGCCTCTATAGGGTCGGTCCACAGGGACGATGCCGTTAGGGTTGTAGGATTTTCCGTTCCTACGACAGCCGGTTCTACGTACCGGAATGACTCGGATTTCACCCGACCAAGGGCTGTTGTTTCCGCGATCTAACCCCGTTTAGGTCGGCGAAGTATCTCAGAAAAACCCCTATCTCAGAATTTGGTTGAAGAACTCTCTATCTCTGCAGCCGATTCAAAAATGCCCTATCTGAGCATATTTTTAAAGTATTTTCGTTTGAGATGGAGCGTTCTTCAACCAAGTTCTGACATAGAGTGTTTTTCAATCAAATTCTGAAGTAGGGCGTTCGTGAAAAGTTTTCTGAGATAGGGTGTTTTCGAACTGGCTGCCGATATAGGTCGACTTCCACTCAGCCAGCGATATAAAAAAAAGACACTTTTTGGGCCGAGTGCAATAATTCGTTTGCAATCAGGCTTTAACTGGCTGCGATACGAGTATTAGCCTGCAGATATAAGAAATGTCTATTGCTGCGACTTACCTTCTGCAATCCTCGGTTGGCCAAGATATACTTCGAAGACAACATCTTTTTCAAAGCTTTGTTCGTCGATGATTTGAACTTCTATGATTTGCCTAAGGTTTTTTAAATACATACGTATGTAGATGATCAGCATGTGCTAAATACAACTTATTTTACAAATCTACTCACTCAACAACGCCATGTTCAAATACCAGTATGCCGCTCACATCCACGTACTCTTTCCCCGATTTTGCCGTTTTCTCTTTGGTATAATAAGGCACGATAACTCTACCAAGTGCGCCCGAATATCGTTTTACAAATATTTCGTAAATTTTCACTGTTTCTGGAATTTGATGTTGTGTTTCCTTGAATCCGAAAATGCCACAGTGATCATCATCCAGGATCATAATGGTTGCCACTTTAGGTGCTACAAGAACAGCTTCCGTACTCGGATTTTTAAGGTGGACATAAAAGTGTTCATCCTCTTCGAAGACATCATCATCAATAATTCTTATTTTAATGGTTTGCAGCTCGATGCCTGGAGCAAATTCAAGCACTCCCCTCATGGCTACATAATCTGTGCCTGCCTTCGCGGTTCCATCTTCGGTGGAGTATTCAACTTTTGTTAAATGCTTCAAATTTCCGCCCCGAATCACATGCAACTCCACATCTCCGACACTTTCCATCACAGTATAGTGGCCGTGCTCAAAATATATGCACGTCTCGAAGTCATCATAAAGCTCTTCATCCTCCTCTCCTTGCATACGAGCTTCGGCCTTTCTCTCTGATATTTCCATAGTTGCGAAATAAAGCGCTCTGTTTAGTACGCCTGGCCCCCCAGTTAAACGACGTCCAGTATGAACGCGATAGAAAGCTCTTGACTTACGACTATCTTTGATTAGTTGCTCCTGCGCCATTGCTTGGATTATTTCCAAATCATACTCTGGATATCTTCGACGCAATTCTTTCAACTTAATAATGTAATCTCGGCGTGTTTCTTCAAATTCGCGCATTTCTGGACTTTCGACTAGATCTTTAATACTTGTTCGTACAGGATCCTTGCCTTGTTCGGCCGACTCAACTTTGCCCACAACGATACCACGCTGATTCGTTTCGTATGATTGTTTGTAACATTTCGGACAGAAGAGACGACGCTCTGTAATGTAAGCGTGATACACAAGAATTGGAAAGAATATAAACGTTAGTAATCCCTCCCATATATCAATGACGCCTGGTGAAATATATTTCACTATTAAGCACAACCAAATGTAAGCAAATGTCGACCACACAGATGTCACAACAAAAACTCGAAAATTACGTATCTTTCGTACTTGACCTTTCGGTATTACAACCATACATATAGCAATTATAATGAAAAGGTTATATGCCGCAGAACCAACTATTGTACCTGGACCTAAATCGCCAGCTTCGAAATTCTTCTGAAACATTTCGATTATAGAAAGAAAAATTTCCGGTGCGCTCGAGCCCAAAGCCATGAGTGTTAAATTGGCCACTGTCTGACTCCACACACGGACGGATATGGTTTCTTTCTGGCCATTTTTATTAAGTACAGTTACACGTTTTTCACTTGATGTAATGACCTCTATAGATTCCATAAATCGATTCGATACAATGGCAACACCAATGAATAAATAACACATTGCCAGGAAATAAATAATTCCTCGTTTTATTCTTTCCGTTTTGGAAACTCCTTCTAAAGGTCGCCAAGATTTGAGAATAAGACCATCCTTGCACCTTATAATTCCTTCGTCAAAGTCGGATCGAAAAAATGGATTTATACTATTTCGTTCATTCGATTCGTTTTGTGGAGGTACAGTCGCCTCTGGTTGTGTTGTGCTCGAAATAGGATTAACCATTTGTTTTAAATTTAAATCGTCTGGGGGTGGTACGGCAGTCGTCGGTTTTGCTATGCTTGGTTCACTATCCGCTAACGGTGATGGAGTTATTGATTTGGGTGTAATATTCCACTGTGTTACTCCAGGCGAGTTCGTTTTTTCTTGTGCCTTGGTTAATCGAAGGAGTAAACAATTCAAACAAACCAAAGCCACTAATTTAGTAAACGCTTTCAATTGGCGACTTCTATCTGAATATACTTTTATCATCGCATCGATTTATAGCACTCACACAAATAAATCCGAATGGTTTAGGTTTCGAGAACTTGTTGCCGTTGTTGTTGTGTACGCGGTCCTTAGCTAACGATCACCGACACTATGTGCCACGAATGGCGTCGAAATGCGCCCAAATACCCGCTTTTTTGGTGTTTCACCTCGTTGTTCCCGCAGTTTGTCCCTGTCGTTTCCGTTTAAAAAATAAGTAGATGAATACCGTTTTGATTAATAATTTTGAATATTTCTAAACTTTTTCACCGGTTCAATATTTTTATTTTTTTCCCAATTCGACAAGCTTCATGAATGTCGTTTCGACAAATGAAATTAACGAAAAAAATGTGTACTTATCAAGTCACATTGAACAGGTAGTATCATAAGAGCTGCTGATTCGTTTATTTTTTGTCAGATTATTTGGTCTCGAAAATGTCAAATATTTTTAATTTATTCTTACAAAAATTTTAAATTGTTAAAATCTATTTGCATGTGAAATGTGAAACCATTTTCCATACAAAATCAGTGATTTTATAGCAGCTTTTAGAACGTTCGTCCAACTCTGCAGCACAACCGCGGATTACTGGGGCCCAGTGTTGTCGTTGAGAATTTTCAAAAAAGTCGCATAAAAGGGGTAATGGCGAAAAAAGGTCACCATATTATATACAGTTCGTTGGGAAATAGTATTTAAAATTCTCCTTTTTAGTAGTTCCTTTGATCGCAATTTTTTAGGAACTTGGTGTAGTTAGAACGATAATAATATTTAAAATTGCTGGATTTGTATAATTTTTGTCCTCAAAATGTAAACAAATAAAAGATATTGTGGTTATCAATGGAAAAAGGCGTACACAAAAATCGTACGGAAATGCGATTTTTTATATTAAATAACTTTTGCTGCATTGTCATAATATTGAGCCAAATGGACAACTACTTATACACGAGAATAGAGTGGCTGCATGCTTAAATTAGGAATTCGCTTATAATATTAAAAAGTCATTCTCAGTCTTATAAGAAATTGCCTTAGTTTACGGCCTTTACTTTTTTATAAGTTCTACTATATATCCAAGCTGTGTGCCGATACAAACATATATTCAGGCCTATAAGCCTGTAGTTATATATTTTTTACATTTATTTTGAAATAGTATGCACGAACGTATTAGAAGTAGTAAATAATTAGTACCTTTTCTACTACTTTAAAATGCGTGACAGGAATAGAAGTGCCGAAAAAGTGAGGTTAAGTTACCTTATTATTATTACACCATGTTTTTAAAAAAAAATTTTTTTTTTATTAAACATGCATTGTCATCTTTGTTTTTTTTTTTGTAAAAAAAAAATGAAAAGCTTCAGATCGAAAGATATACCACCTCTGTGCGCGACCTCTAAGGAGTTGGATGAAAGTTGAAGAGATTGAAAGTCTAGGTGACGTGAATATACATGCGGCATATATTGCCGATATGACGTAGCATTGCCTATTTACACGAGATTTAAATTTTAAGAAAACGTCATGCATACCTTTTTTTAAAGTGCTGTATCTTGGAAACCTTTCAACGAAACTTAATGAAAAAAAATTTATTTATTCCGCCTTATTATGGGCTTTAACTATAAATTTTTTACACTAATGTGCAACGTATAAAAAAAAAAATAAACTTTTTTCTTTTTGAATATAGCATTTTTATTTTTATTTTTTTTACATAAAAACATTGTCTATAATGTCAACTTTAAGTACCCAAATGGGTGTAATGGGTTACTAAGGCGAATGGACTCTTGATCGTCTAACGCTCGATCAATATGATAAATAGAAATTAAAGTTTTATGAAATTGTATATTTTTGAAAAAAGAAAGGTGTGTAAAAAACAAAAGAAATATGAATAAATCATATTCTGCCTTATCCTGAGTTTCACCTGAAAAAAAATTTACTCGAAAATTTGTCCATTTGTCCCATAGTAAAACCATGGAAACCAAAAGTGAAAAGTGAACCGGTTCGGGGAAAATGAAACTCATGATAAGACTGATTAACTCTACTAATGCTTTGAAATCACGAAAATCCTTTCAAGGAAATGGCAGAATTGAACTTTGATGCAAGTTCACGTGGGAAATCTGCATGCGACGATCCATCATGGCACTATCAATAAACATCGATGGTCACAAATATCGATTGTATTCCAGCTCTACCATTCAGTCCGCAGGCACGGTGGACATCTGGATTTACATAGTGAGGTTTTCTTTATAGACCCGCCATATTCAGTTTGAAGCAGGGTCACCGCTCGCAGGATGTGACTCGTCGCCACGTATGGTCGGTGTTGAGCCATCTACAGCGTGTGATAAAAACGCCAAAAACCTTGACCAAACCAACTCTTGGTCATGCCTGCCGAATGGACGCAAATGGACGATGGTGGTAGCTAAGGATGAAAATACCAGGTTTATAAGGACTCGGCACTATTGCACTCACCCAGAAGAAAAAGGAGACCACTGTGCGCAGTGCCGATGCATCTTAAGAGAAAAACGTTCGTGTGCATCAAGCCTAAAAATCAATATCTGTAAAAACGTCAAGTGCTACTTATCTACAAATGCTCATATGTACATACATTTGTATGGACATACTTAATGCTTGAAACACAATACCGGGCGAACGGCGAAGTTCGCCGAATCGGGCGGGGCCGTCGTTCACCGTTCGCCCTGCTATTTCGCCTATTTTAACAGAATTAGAGCGTTAGGGAAAACAGCTGACAGCATTTCGTCGCACTTATAATTTAGGTGACCATATTTTGAAAAACAAAACCATATTTAGAAATGATGAAATGATAACAAATATAAATATTATAAATTGTTTTATTTTAAACCACTCAATTTTTCAACCAACAAAAAATAATTTGTTTTATATGTTGTTTTCTTCTAAATCTTTGAAAGCAAAGAAACATATGGTCACCTTTGGCATGTACTGCCGCCATTGCCCAGCAGAGCGATAGAAATAAATCTATCGCCACGCTTTGGCTGTGTTCAATTTCATATGGCGGCGGGTGTTCGAATTTTGACAGCGGGAATTACGCTATGGTGAGTTCGCCGTTCGCCGGCATTGTGTTTCCACGGTAAGTACATACATATGTATGTAAGTATGTATGGATGTATACGTCATGCATTTACACAATGTTTTTACCGCAATGAACTGATCAAGCCGCTTTCCATTCGTGTAGGGTGCACTAGTCTGGGAGCTCTAGAGACTAACTATTTAGAATGTACATACATACATACTTATATTTATATTTAGATACTTACATATGCATGCACACAGAAGAGTTCTCGAGCCACTGTGAGGTACCATGCGCTCAGTACGATTAGTTCGAGTGTGTCGTTTCGCGGGTCGCCATCGGACAATGCGTTGGCACTTTTTGGGGTAGCTAAAATCGTAAAACAAAAATAAAAGTAAAATAGTACACAGTGCACAGTGCAACGGTTGGATGGTTTATCGAGTGTAGTAGTAAGAAACGATTTTGTTACAGTTGTTGTGAAAATGTTATAAAAATAAATACCTTTAAAAAAAGATTATGAAAATAAAAATTAAAAAGTACGCAATCCATAATTGTGATTTAATAATGTGTGAATATAAAAATAAATAGAGAGCGTCGCGAAATAAAAAATGTTGTTGCTATTTTAATAAATTATAAATAGTTTATTTTCATACATACACATGTGCATACTATGTGCAAAGTGATGCTCTTGTTCTTTGGCTAATTAATACTGCAATGTTATTAAATTATAATAAAAATACAAAAAAAAGTGTTATCTAGCTCTTACAGGTCTTCATGGATCCAACTTTAATTGCTGCTAAATTTGTATTCGCTTTCGCTGGATATTAATACAAACTTGTGTTCACATTCCGTTCCTATTGCTATTTAGTTTAAAAAAGAATGCAAAATTTAAAATTTAATGCTCGTAAAAGTTACACATAAAGATGTGCTAATAGAGATTTGTATTTGTTTTTATTTTTTAATGTTTTAAAGCGTTAAAATTTTAAAGCATACATAAGTAAATATAAATAACTTAAGCTAAAAAAAACACCTCTACTCGAAACTTGAATTTTGTGTGTGTTCGCCTTTAACGTTTTCTTATTTCGCGTTGCGTCAACGATTTGTTGTCGGAAAACGGCCTCACAAAAGCATCAATTGCTCCTGATTTGCAAAGCCATCTAAACATTAATGTGGTACTAAATAATCATAACTTTATTACCTGACTTCAAAGAGATTTCAATTATTCGACGGCTGCTAAGGTATATCGTTCATTTCATCCAACATTAAAACAACATATAAGTATTTGTTTAAAGAAAACTATAACTACTTGAAAAAAGATACTCATCGTTTTTTTTTTGGTCAGAAGAACATTATAATAAAAAAATTACAAAGTTTGGGCATTAGAAATATTAGTCCCATTTGGTTAATAAAAACATTTATTAAGTTTATTTAAATACCTGGTGGAAATTCGGCATTACATGTATAGAAATGGCGGTTTGTCCTTATTTTATCTTGTGTAAAAAATGCATAGCATATATGTACGAGTATCTATCAATTGTGTCTCATCAGAAGCAATTTAGCTTTCTTAAAACGAATCGATAGAAAGTCTGCTGACCGCTTTTCCAATAAAATGTTAAGATTATAATTATATTTTTTTGTTATAATTTACTTTGGTTAACACCACACTAGTAATGGGCATAATTAAATACTTTTTTATATAAAATACCTCTTGAAAAATACAAATACTTTGTCTTTATAATTGCCTAAATACTAAAATAAAAGAATCTTAAGTATTTAGGACTTGCTAAATACTAAATAAAAAGGTATTTAACTACAGTATTCCCCGCTTAATTGTCCCCCAGTTAATTGATTTGAATTACCTTATGGGTAAAAAAGTACTGCATAAAAATCCATGTAAATTTTCCCGCTTATTTGAACAGGTTAATTGATTAAAAACATGTGGCATTAAAATTTTCTCCGGTTAACTCTTCCTTACGTTTATTTTATTTTTTTATAACAATTATCTTTAAAAAAGGTGAGGGCAAGTATACATACTTATGTATGACTAATAATAAATACAAATAGTTTTTTCTTTATATTTTCGTTTAAAGTATAAACTGTATAAATATCACTAAATTAAAAATGTACACATGCATTTTCTTTTAATTGATTAGGTTGTCGAATGTAGTGACATTTCTCTAACTGACGAACTTTTCAATTAAACAGGAATTGAACCAAAAATTGCGCCATTTTTGAAGTGAAGCGAGGAATACTGTAATAGATTTCTAAATACTAAACGGCACAGGAAAGAAAGAGCAGGCGGTATTTTTTGGTATTTATTGTTTAAGGAATTGAAAAATAATGAAATATTTTGTGATTTACTTTTAGGGAAAAAATTTTGGTGTTATTTTAGCGTCTTATTTGATATTTCCTGCACCCATCCGGATTCTTAATGTTAAATCTTTCGGGGTCTTTCGGAAATTTTCCACGATTTTCGGGATTGTTTCAAGAATTCTCGGGATTACTTTTGTATTCAATATATGAGGTCATGAGCATCAGAGGAGTTTAAATGTCTTGAGGCCTAAGTCGTAAAACATAAAACTACTTGCGTCAGCAAATAATACTTACATACATCAACTGAAAGTATTATGGGCTTTAAAAAAAAAATCTTTTTACAAATACACAGTTTTTTTTGTTTATTCTCTTTATTAATTTCTCCTTTATTAGTACAATCTTGACAGATTTAGGCTGAGTTTTCTTGCTCCATTTGATAGGTTTTTAGGAAAAGAATTTTACTTAATACGGCGCGATGCCAAAGATATTTGTTCGTCCCTGTGTGAAAAATGAATATCCACAGCATTTTAAAATTTTCGAAATCTTTAACATTCCATGCAGCTATGATACATTACGTTCAATTAAAATGTGACAGACTATTTATAACCAACATGAATGCCAGAGAATTTTTTAATTATACTTAGTAAGATAGAATTAAATATCAACCACCTACTTCCTTCACATCTCATTAACACTCATGAATACAACTAAATGTGTATATAGCGACGCATACATACAGCGAGTCGAACAAGTGACCACGTGTTGATGTTCTTCTAAATTTTAATAACGTTTTTCGCGTTATTTTTTTTATATAAAAATATTGCCCAAGCTTTAACCAAAAACCGTGTAAATCCCAGTTTTAAACTTTATAAAAGAAATTATAAAATTCAACCAAATTTCAAAAAATCAGCGCCAGTTTGTGTAAGTTGCACTTGTCAAATAACAAAAGAAACCCCAAAAGCACTCACAAAGAAAAATTAAAAAAATCAGCCAGCGTTTTAGCTGGTTGAAACTTACACGTCATTAGACTAAACTGTACTGCCTATATCTAAAACTGCATACCCAAAAATTTTCTCAAAAATCAGATGAAATTATTGAAATTTTTATGCAAATTGAATTGAATTTTACTAAACTATGATATATATGGTCGTGATTAGAGCTTGTACGGTACTTTTATATGCAAATAACAAAAAATTCAGCTCGAAAAACGTTACGAATATTGAAAAAAAAAAAAATAACACGTGGTCACTTGTTTGAGTTACTGTATTATATGTACATTAGGGTGCATCACTCTCCATAAAAAATCGGCACAGGTTTCCCATCGGAATTATATTTTTTTTTATATACATATTTTAGGACTTTCTCAATGATCTTTCGGAAAATATTAAGATTTACATGAGCTGGACCGATTTGAAAATGCATTCGAAAATCTCATTAGATATTTTTACTGCGCTTATAAGATGTTCAAAAATGTTTATGCAGACCTTTTAAGTTTAAACTCTTCTATCATCTAAGGAGATTTTTGGAAAAAAGTATTTTTTAAAGTGTATTATCAAATCGGTGAGGCTAACGCGAATCTTAATATTTTTTCAAAGTGTTTTGTCGGTCTTGTTTAAATATCATACATTTTATTGTTCCGGTGGAAAACCGCACCCTAATATGCATATGTATTTGCGTACATTTATATTCGAAATTTAAACGGTGATAGTTATGTGGCATTTAACTACAGTCAGAGATTTTTCTTTCTTTTATTTAAAACTAAAAAAAGAAACCATGGAGTACTTCCTCTGACATCACATCGACTTGCTCTATCCGATTCTTCTTCACTCAGCATTATCTTTCATTCTATCACTTTCAAAGTAGCTCACACATTCCGAGGTGATGCTAAAAAATTGATATGCCTGATGCTAGCAGCATTCAGGTTGCATAGGCCATATTTTACGGCTGTGATGAATTCTGTCTGTATCTTGAATATTCCTTCGTCCGAGAATGCCGCAATTTTGGCATTGACGTGGACACTAGAACACTAGGAACACTCCATTTTATAGAGCAATTCTCAACTTTAGATCCAAACGTTTGCAATGCAACGAAGGGCCTCTTTAGCGGCTGTGATATTTATAAAATCTTGTGGCCATAGTAAATTGAAGATATACATACATATATACCGAGCAATTCAATTCTCAGCACCCGGTTATTTTTTAGTGTGATCTAGTTGTACTTTCCGTAAGCCATAATGCTTAAATTTGAAGCACACTCCCTTTGCTCGAATACTGTACTTTTTAAAAATTTATTTGAATACGCATTTGCAATAACTTCAAATTAAGACTTTTTTCTCTTCCAAAACAAGTTGATGAGCAAATGTGGTTAAGGAAATTATATTCTGCCGAAAACGATAATAAAATATTAATTTTGTTAACTTTAGTCCGAAATATTCCCCCCCCCCCCCCCCTTCTGATTTTTTGGTTTTAGCGTAATAAAAAATTTTTCCAAAAAAAAAAAACACTATACATAGAATAAAATTGTAACAGACCGATGCCTGTACATTATAACATTAAAGAAGAATTAATATGGAGGCCTTTATTAGAGCGATAGAAATCAAATCAAGAATTTTTAGAATTCTTGTCTGTCTGTATGTTTGTACATAAATCACTCGAAAACAAATGCATAAAATTGAATGCAGTTTTCACCGATGTATTTCTAGAGGTTTATTTAAAAAAAAAAAAAAAAAAAAAATTGAGAGTTGCCACCTGACTGAAAATTCCAGTTTAAGTAAATTGATAAGATAAAGTAAATATGGCTGTCGAAAGTAAATATTGCAATATAGCTGTTTAAGAAAGCTTACTTCTGAAAATATTTTTGTGGAGGTTGCCACATGTCTGAAAATTTTAATTCAATTTAATTTAATTGATAAGATAAATTAAATATTGCAATATAGGTATCAAACTAAAAAGGTTTAGGAAAGCTTACTTCCGAGAATATTTTTGAGGAGGGTTACCACCTGTTTTAAAATTAGTATTTAATTTAATTTATAAAATAAATAAAATATTACAGTACGG